TAACATGCTGATTACCAAATTCTTAACCAAAACATCTATCTCAAGGCAATTTCCAAGATTTACACATTTTTAAGAAGATCCATCAAACCAACGAGTTGGGTTCTGAAAGTTTAACACAAAATTTACCTCCCAATACTTAGAAAAACCAGCAAGTTTCAGCCACAAATTCATTATACACAATTTTATATAATTCAAATACGATATCAGCAAAAACGAGCATAAAATTCAAAGCCTAACCTAACGAACGAATTAACACATGAGATTCTTACTGGAGCAAGATCAGTAGTTAAAGACCAACATATAAAAATTTTAGTTTCAAACAATAAACACACGAATTTTAAAAATTCCTATAAGTTTCTGCAGTTTATCCAATTTCAATTAAAACCGAACCATTTTGAACTCTAAAAATTCCAATCTTCCCATATCATGATACTACAAATAAAACAAGCATCTTAGCCAAAAATAAGAATTTTTCAATAACCAAACGATTTATCATAAAGGGTAAAATACTTTTTCCCATCCGAACTATCGCGGTTTTGGCGCATCACCATATAAACTATTTTTTTTTACAAACCACCATATGAACTATACGGGTTTGTCAATATGCCCCCTAAACCGGATATAAAAGTGGTTTAGGGGGCACATTGACAAACCCGTGATAGTTCATATGGTGGTTTGTAAAAGTATTTAGGGGGCACATATGGTGACCAAACAGCTTTTTCAGTCAAAACCACTTTTATATCTGGTTTAGGGGGCACATTGACAAACTTGTATAGTCCATATGGTGGTTTGTAAAAAAAATAGTTTATATGGTGATACGCCAAAACCGTGATAGTTCGGATGGGAAAAAGTATTTTACCCTATCATAAATAAAACAATTTTCTGCACAATCTGAAAATAATGCATTTACCCTATGAAACTTATTCTAAAAATTCTAAAAATTTTACACAGCATAAAATCATGACAGAGTCATAACATATTCAAATTTTAGCAAAATCAGAGCACGGACCAATTTAACATGCATTTAACATATTTCTATTCAGAAATCACTTTAATTATTTAAAATAGCTACAGGCTATGAAAAATCATGAAATTTTTACACAAGCTATACATAAAAGTGAAGGTCTCTCAGTTCACATTTCATGCCAATCGGACAATCATGCGATTTATGGTGAATTTTACACATAAAACAGCAATTAAGGACTTCAAAAATTCATATCTCCCGATTTACTAATCGAAACGACACAAGGTCAAAACCGTTGTGCCCATGACGATCCTAAGTTCCTAAATCCACAGCAACTTCACACTTTCAACGAGTTCTCGTTCGATTCGCACGAACCGACGAAATTCACATAAAATCATAATAATAAACACAACAATAATATATTTATAGTCTCAAAACACAACTCATGAACAACGAGAGGGAAAACGAGTCTCGTTACCGTTCTCAGGATTAACACACGATTAAGAACGGGCCGAAGATCGAGATGGGTTGTTCGGAGGGGCTCGACAACTTCGTTTAGCACGCCGACGAGACACAAAGAGCGGGAAAGTGAATTTCTTCCTTCCTTCTTTCTTTTTTTTTATGGTGATGATGGGAGAGATGACCAATAGAGTGGTGTTGTGCGGTATGCGAGCAGATTTCCGTTTTCAATCTCAATTTTTTTTTTTTTTTGGCTACTGCTTGAAAGGTGATGATGGTGATTATGCGATCAGAAAATTGAGGTAAAGGGACGATGATGTTGCTGTTATGATGATCACAAGCAGATTTTTCTCTTTTTGCCTAAAACGCGAGAGAACATAACTAGGGGCTGCGGAAATTATTTTGACGAGCTTGGGGAGGAGGAACATATATATATGCACAAGTAATTAGGTTTAGTAATTTTTTTCTTGATCCACAAGAAAAATCACACGCACACACACACGCACAGTATAAGAGGGGCCCGGTTCAGGGGCGGGTCGGCAATCAGGGGCGGTCCACTCTCGGTTCGACGATTATAATGCTCGGGCTCAAACGCATGATGAATAAATTTTAAACGAGGCTCGATAGTTAAAATAGAAACTGAAATAATACACATAATAGTATTATTTATAAAATTACACAATTAATATTTATTAAATATAACATTTAGACAATTAATATTAATAATAGTAATATTACTAATAACAATAAATAATAGCAAGTTGGCATTTAAGAACAATAATAATAATAAAATAATCGAACGGGGCGTTACACACAGGCTCCCCTCAGCTGGTCGAACAAGTCGTCAACTTTGGGAAGCGGATATTTGTTCTTGGCTGTTAACCGGTTGAGATCCCGGTAATCAATACACATGCGCATAGAGCTGCCCTTCTTTTTGACGAAAAGAACGGGTGCTCTCCATGGTGAAACACTCGGTCGAATAAAACCGAGTTTCAATAACTCCTGGATTTGAGTCTTTAACTCTTGCAATTCTTTTGGCGCCATACGATATGGTGCTTTGGATTCTGGGCCGGCTCCTGGAACAAGATCAATAGAGAACTCTACCTTCCGATTAGGTGGTCCTCCTAGAAGTTGGTCCAGAAACACATCCACAAACTCACGAATAATGAGAACGTCGTGAGGTGTCCGTGCTTTCGGTTTATCATCGACAAGGCTCACAAGATAACCCTGGCAATCACCTCGTCATAACATCTTTTTGGCTTTCGCCATGGAAATAACATGAGGTAAAGAACGAGTCTTGGTGCCAAAGAAAGTAATATGATTGTCTCTCAGAAGATAAAGAGTAATCTCCCGGTCGTGGCATCGAATATCTGCATGGAAATAAGTTAGCCAATCCATACCGAGAATGAGGTCAAAATCCCTCATCTCGAGAACATAAGCGTCGGTAAGCAAGATACGACCATCGATAGAAAGGCTGAGATCAGTAGCTTTGGCATCAGTCACTATCTTTCGTCCCGAGGCTAAACCCACCTTGAGAGGATCGACTACGATAATAGAATATACTCCAATGGCATCAAGACATCGTCGTGATATAAAACAGTGAGTTGCTCCAGTATCAAATAAGGCGTAAACAGGAACGTCGTTTAGCATAATCATACCAGACATAGTACATGGGTGTTGCTCTGCCTCGGCCTGATCTATAGCATAAACACGAGCCTGCTGTCTGCCTCGCTGCTGCTGCTGTTGGGGTGGCCTCGGAGCCTGTTGTCTGGGCTGCTGCTGTTGTGGCTGTTGTGGTGGTTGTTGTCGTGGCTGCGGTCGCTCTGGGCAGTTGGACACAAAATGTCTGGATTGATGACAGTAATAGCAAATATCCTGGCCAAAATGACACTCTCCACGATGGGGTCGTCCACAGGTAGCACATGGTGGAATCTGCTGCGGTCTGGCTGCACCTGGCTATCTCGGACGGATCCTCCTATCACTCTGGAAGCCTTTCCCTTTTCTCTTCTTATCCTTCGGTTGTTGGGCAGCAGTTGGTTGGACTGGTGGTGCTGATGATGACTGGGCAGGGGTAAAAGGCTGAAGACAATCATGATTAGCCTCTCTCCAGATGCTTGCGTCAACTTCCTGGGCTATGGTTACAGTATGGGCATAGGTTTGGACGCCGTGACCTACAATGTTATGACAGACTGCTGGTAAAAGCCCGTCAGTGAAACGTCTCGATCTCTTTGCCTCTTTGCTCACCAGATCGGGAACAAAGGCTCCAAGTCGAGTGAATTCTCGCTCGTACTCGTCTACTGAACGAGTACCCTGTTTGAGCGCCAGAAATTGACGCTCCATGTCTGCTCGATAGTACGCTGGATAATATTTCTCGCGAATCAACTCCTTGAAGTTGTCCCACATACAACCTTCCTTTTCGCCGGGATGCATTCCCCAGTAGGCCTTCCACCAGAGACGTGCGTCGCCCGTTAATTGGATCTATGTGCATAGAACGCGACAGCGATCGGGACAGTTCATGACCTCGAAAATCATTTCAAGACCCTGGACCCATTCGTCAACAATTCGGGGATCTCCCTGGCCGAAAAATTTCTCTGGATGGTAGTCGCGAAACTGAGCGACTACAGTGGCCTGGGGAACCTCCTAATGATCAGTATCCCTACGTGGCGGCATCTGAATACTGGAAACGTTCAACATGATTAAACATAGAAATATGACATAACATGATACATCAACTGTGTGATAAGACACACAAATCTCTTAACGAGTTGCTAACTTGGCCCGGAAATATTGACATTGAATCATGGACACACTGGATTATAAATCCTGAACATAACTTGAGCATCCTAACTAATTCATAACTGTGGATTCTACTGAGCATAGACATAGTTATTTGTTTATAATTTAAAACATAAATCAGCACTTACCTGTAGTCGGTGGGACGTGAGCGTGACGTGGTCGGGTTTTATAAATATTTCTGACTCGTAAAAGTGTTCAGAGATGCAGAAACGTGCTCTGATACCAACTGTAACACCCCGCTATGTCGTAAATATCAGAGTTAAATTTTTGCAAAATCTTTTATTTAAATACTTATTAGTTTTGCGAAATCGTAATTCGGAGTGCTACCCTAATTCATTACTTTGCTTGAAATTCGTTAACATTATTTTAATTTTTAAGAAAAACAGATTATCATTATATAAACAATCCGATTAATAAATCGGACCAAAACGGATAAGCTTGACAAACAGTAAAAGTCAGCGGAAATCATAGCGTGGCAAAACATATATATACACCTGTATAAACATGGTCCTGAACCGTTCGTCAGCTCACACCTCCGGTCCGACTCTGTGACCTGAAAAACTTAGATAAACATGGGGCGTGAGCACTAAAATCCACTGTGCTCCGTAGGAACTCATACTAAAGCAAACAGTGAATATAATAACAATATCATGATCAATAGCATGTAGAAACGTGGTACCGGTACATTAAAAAACATGGCATGGCAAGGCATAGTATAGTTGTAGCATAGCTACAATATCTGCCAACACAAACGTGCTGGACACCATGTGCACACTCTAGTGGGCAGATAAGGCCACTAGAACCTAGAATGGGTTTACGCACCTGG